CCTCAGTGACCAGCACGGATCAGCTCTAGGCATGACGAAGCGGATATCGTCCTCTTTTGAAAGGCCAAACAAAGTAGCTTTCACAACGAAACACACAGCGTCTTCACGACATGGCGGCGGCAGCAACAATACTACAGCGAGACTAAAAGTTACGCCGCCTTTCTTTGCGTGAACATTTGGGCAGCGTTATGCAAATCTTCCCACATAGTGATGTAGATATGTGGGGGCGTGTTAGAACGAGCCGTTTTAGGTAGGCGTGGCTGACTCTTAACTTTTATAAAGAATATCTCTTTGGATTTGAGACTTTAGTCTTTGCAACTTTACAGATCTTCTTTATGCACCAAGAGCTTGTAACACTCCAAAGAGAAAGGAACAATTGAAATCGCATCATATGACCCCTTTAACAATCATTGGTGTCAACAAGCTTTTTTATTGAGTCTTAAATGTTAGTGGTGTAGGCAGCTTTAGACATGAAAACAAATCGAGACCCACCACTAAACTAAATGCTGTTTTGAACTGTCTACATGACTAAAAACTAATGTAGAAACACGTGATTTAAAAAAAAAAAAGGCTTAATTATTATTTTTTGAGGATTTCCAGGTAGTTATTACAAGCTTTAGATATGCAGTTGAAGTTATAGTAATGTTTATAACAATGCTTCTGTATAACACTTATGCATGTTTACTGATGCACTTTAATGTGCAGGTGAAACATTGAAAATCCAGACAGTTTCACTCTTCCACCCAGAAGTCTCTTCATCACCACCTTGGCACTTAACATATGTTTTTACATGAAGAGGGGCGAGAAACCCGAGGGATACAGACAAATGCGACCCAAGACGTTCCCTGCGAGCAACTACAGTGGCAATAGTCAACAAATGCTGCAGGAGATCCGAGAGAGCTTGCGGAACCTCTCCCGGCCGCCAGATGCTCCCAAAACCGACGTGAGCGTCGGGAAGGGCCCGCCAGATGATCCCAGACAACAAGGGCGGAGCAACAACCCCAGGACCCCCCACCATCACAGAGCACTGCAGGAGATCCGCAGGTCACTCATGCCATTTGCTAATGAAACTACCTCTAGCGGACACGCTGCAGATATCAACAGACACATGCTGCAAGAGCTGCAGGATGCTGGCTTTGATGAGGTAATGGACCTTGTGGAGTTTGGTAGGAAGAGAAGTTTCCTACCAAACTCCTCCAAACCCCCCCCCAAATGTGTCATATCAATCTCTTGTGCCAGGAATGTTCTCTACTGTCACTTTATAATTTCGCTTATTTGAGGAATGACAGAAATGGTATGTTGCCAGACCTGCTCTGGTTGAAGAATGGAGCTCAACATGTCGTACTCAATTGCTCACTAACACTGGGTGTGATGTACATATTTGTTTTTTTTCCCAGTAAGATTAATTGCCCTGCTTGTTTTTTCATGTGGTGGATGTGCATAAAGGTAGTCAAAAACAAATTTTGGTCACTTGCTGTGGTTGTACATGCAGGCAAACCATCATTGTAACGTTACATTTTGATTATATGAGAATACTTTCGTAAAGGATAACATATAGTCAGAAACCCAGACGGTGATCAGGACTCGATGTGAATCGACTGTCTGTTCATTTCGGTTATTTTTCTTAACCGACGCTCGTTAACCGATTATTAACCGTTAACCGACAAGATTATTTTAAATTAGAATTTAATTAAATTAGAAAGGATAAGTGTCTGTGAACCGTTAAAAATACTAACATTTGTTTCCCAGGGATTAATTTTACATGCGTAAAAAGCATAAAGCTAGGCTATATGAGGATTCACGGTCTTCATATCACACACATCACGCACCTGCAGCGCTTCTGCCAGCAGAGAAAAACATAATAAAGCTAGGCTATATATATATATATATATATAATATATAAATAAATGGGCATATAATAATAAATAGGCCTATACGAGAAAACGAAAGAAAAACTGTGCAATAAGTAGCCTAGTATGCAGAGTTTCGGTTCATTGTTGTGCTGCGCGAAAGGAAACCAAGACGGCAGAAAGCGGCGTCCTATTTTTCTTTAGGCTTATTTTACAAAAGCACAAAGATTTGTTTTTATTGTGAATGTACACAAATAAAGGCAAACCTTTTACAATTCCGATTATCTTTATGACTAAAAGGAGTAATTGCGTCCACTGTTAGAAGGAAAAAACTCAAGTGATTGCGCCGGCGCAGCATGCACACACAGTTAAGCTGTGCTACCTTGACAATGCAGCCTGTTTATTATCACAATAAAATACAATCAGTCAAACATATGGAAAAAAACATTTGATTTTGTGTCGAATGAGAGACCCAACGTTGGTTTCAGTTTCGTTTTAGCCTAAATTAATTTGTTTTGGCTTGTCAAGTTTATTTGTACAGTGCTTTTCACGATACAAATTTGTTCTTTTCTAAATACTGT